GGGAGCCTCTTTCAGAACATCCTTTCTTCCTTGTAGAATGAGGTTTACAGGGATACTGAAAAAAACGTGTCTGCTTTTCTGAAATTTTTTTCAGAAAAACAGACGTGTTCCTTGCACTCGGCAGAGCTTTTCTGAGATACCTCTGGTATCCTGGAAAAACTCTGCAGTCTAGATGTACCCTCTCTCTTCAGTATGTTCCTGGGTGAGTGTATCTTAAGTGTGGCTGCTGGAAAGTATTTCCTGTAGGTGAGGATTGGCCTGTCTCCCAAAGCCTGTGAGAGTGAGGAATCATTTTCCAGGTTGTAGATTGTCAACAATGTGCTGGAGGGGCTTAAACAGGGGGCTGTAGATGATGACCAGTGTTGTTCTGTTATTTTCCTTGTTGGAAGATTTCTGGGTACTTACAGTACTATGTTACAGTTACTGTATGTTTCACCACTTGTGGCTATAATGGTGAGAATAAATACACTATATATAAAATAAAAGGCCCTATCTTCACAAGCAAAAACCTGCATTTGCATACAAAAGGATCATAGAATCATAGGACTGGAAGGGACCTCAAGAGGTCATCGAGTCCAGCCCCCCGCCCTCAAGGCAGGCCCAAGCTCCGTCTACACCATCTCTGACAGATGTCTATCTAACCTGTTCTTAAATATCTCCAGAGAGGGAGATTCCACCACCTCCCTTGGCAATTTATTCCAATATTTGACCACCCTGACAGTTAGGAATTTTTTTTTAATGTCCAATCTAAACTTCCCTTGCTGCACTTTAAGCCCATTACTCCTTGTCCTGTCCTCAGAAACCAAGAGGAACAAATTTTCTCCTTCCTCCTTGTGACACCCTTTTAGATATTTGAAAACCGCTATCATGTCCCCCCTTAATCTTCTTTTTTCCAAACTAAACAAGCCCAGTTCATGAAGCTTGGCTTCATAGGTCATTTTCTCTAGACCTTTAATCATTCTTGTCGCTCTTCTCTGTACCCTTTCCAATTTCTCCACATCTTTCTTGAAATGTGGCGCCTAGAACTGGACACAGTACTCCAGCTGAGGCCTAACTAGTGCAGAGTAGAGCGGCAGAATGACTTCATGAGTTTTGCTTACAACACACCTGTTGATACAACCTAGAATCATATTTGCTTTTTTTGCAACAGCATCACACTGTTGACTCATATTCAACTTGTGGTCCACTATGACCCCTAGATCCCTTTCCGCCATGCTCCTTCCTAGACAGTCGCTTCCCATCTTGTATGTATGGAACTGATTGTTCCTTCCTAAGTGGAGCCCTTTGCATTTCTCTTTATTAAACTTCATCCTGTTTACCTCTGACCATTTCTCTAACTTGCTAAGGTCATTTTGAATTATGTCCCTATCCTCCAAAGAAGTTGCAACCCCACCCAGTTTGGTATCATCTGCAAACTTAATAAGCGTACTCTCTATCCCAATATCTACATCATTGATGAAGATATTAAACAGTACGCGTCCCAAAACAGACCCTTGTGGAACTCCACTTGTTATCCCTTTCCAGCAGGATTTAGCACCGTTAACAACAACTCTCTGAGTAGCTAGACAACTAATTACTGGATTTGTATGCCATGTGTAAATACAATTTTCATATGCAAAAAGATGGGTATGCTATAATTATAGGCACAAATGTTGCTCTAGAGTGAAATTTTCAAACATGGCCAAGTCCCATTTTCTGTATCTTTTTAAAAAATAGCACTTAGGCTCCCAAGTCACTTAGATATTTTTCAAATGTTTACCTGTAGGTATTAGCTCCATAGGCAAATTTGTTTGATACAGTAGATTTAATTCCTTAAACTCAACCTTTCTGTATAAAACTCAACCTTTCTGGAATAAAGTAAAGTTAAAATCTTCTTGTTTTAAAAGCCTTCCCTTTAAGATAGTCAAATAAACAAGTCATTACCCGGTGATGATATTTTATATTATACAGACATATTCCTCAAGAGTGGATTCTACTCATGCAGTATAAATACTGTAACTTGAATTTCTTCATTCAGTCATGGTAAGCCAATTAAAACAGTTATTAGTACTTCTTAAATAATCCTATGCCAGAAAATCTATCATCTGAATATGCATAACTGTTGATTATATCCATAAATTTATCATAAAAGTTCTGAAGGGAGTTGGATTATTGACATACTGAAGTCATTAGATAGTATAGCAGTAATAATGACATTATCTGCATACT